AACTCCAGCAGTATCAGAACTACCACTGGTCCAGGTTCGAGGCCCCCTTGCCCAGTTCCCAGGTGCGTTATCATAATCTGCGCCATTTGGTAAACTGTATGTTTTACAGATCCGTGACCAGTTTCATGTTACCCAGCAGGAGGGTCCACTGTGGCTGCTGGAACCTTCCCGCCTGGGAATACTCTTAGCTTACTTATCTGGAAAATGGAAACCCCTTCCTTTCTGCAGATATATCTCGCGTCTAGAACAAGGTGCTTTATATTTCAGAGCGGCAGGTATGTGTCATCTTTTCCTTCATGAATTTACGAGGCAGCGCGTGGCTCGGTTTCACGTCAGTCGGCACCTTCGCACGTTGAATCTTCCAGCTGCCAGGTGCCAGGTGCTCCGCCTTCCGCGCAAATTTAAGATGCGTGAGTGCCCTTGCATTACCCGCGGCGCTGCCACGCACATGATCGACAGCATGAAGTTTTCCCCAGCCAGAAAGTGGTACCAGAGACCTACTCGGGTCACGTTCCAAGGCCAACGGATTTGGAAGGATAAAGCTTCTGCTAGCAGGTTCTGCGCCGAGTACAAGTCAGAGTGCCTCCCCGCCCCTGTCTCCGACTCCCAGATCGGCTCAGGCCCTCTCTTTCTTCGAGCCCTTCCTGGCTGCTGGCGTTTACCAGTCTGGCAGACCCCCAGAGCCTCGGCGAAGGCTGCGAAGGCAGCCCTACTTCAGTGGGCACAAGCAGCACGCCTGGGTCCCCGTCAGATCCGAAAAGGCCTCGACTACATCACAAAAAGGTTCTCAACTCCAGCAGGCCCCCACCGGGACCCACGGGGACCCCCGCCGACCAAATTGCCGGAGTTAGAGTCGACCCTCCAGGCCGTGGTGACCCACGCGGACGGCAAGGTTATCATTGCTGATGACGAACAAGGGGATAAAGCCTGGAATGGCTGATGGTCCCGATGTTGTTCGTTGGCTCCATCAGACTGCTGAATTAGATGATTACTGGACTGTTAGATATGATGTATCTAGCTATGATGCGGCTGTTTGGCTATGGACTCGTGCTTATCAAGGCTTGCCTACTTGGCTACGCAAAGGGAACCTGATGCCTAGACCTGCCCAGAAGACGCCCCCCCCCCCCCCCCCCGTATGTTTTCCCGACGGTAAAGAGTAAATGCTTCCTGGATGGTGGTGCTAGATGTTGTTCGAAGCAGGGCATGGCTGCATGCGTAGGATCGTTATTTCGGCTAACGCCCCTGGGACAGAAGGTTTCAGATATATTGGACGGGCTACGCGCCGCCTGCTGCAGGCAAGTGGACTCTCATCAGAGGTGTTTAATATGAATCACGCAGCCCGCGAGATACGTTCCATCGCTTATGAACTGGAGCCGCCAGCGAACGACTCTTGCCTCAGGTGTGGCTGTGCATTCAAAAATGTGGCCATCGTCGTCGCAGGCGCTGATCAGGCGTGCGAGCAGTGTGGAGCAAGCCTCATTGCCGAAGCTTGGAGGGATGTGTCTGCTGCAGTGGTCCATCAGCTCGGTTATGATGCAGCTCTTGTCAAACGAGGCAAGGAGGTGAAGACACGCGCGTTCACTTCGGGCACGCCCCCCACGTACTTTAAGATCTCGACATCGGACATTGGCCGCACCCATTCTCGCATATTGCTGGCTCTCGCTCGTGGCGATTGGTAGCATAGTATATGAACCCCGAGGCCTCCCGATAGGTGGTGTTCTCTCTGGCGTTGCCCTCTCTATTCTTCTGGCGTGGTATGAGAGACGGGCCCAACGCGGGCCTGAGCAGTATGCGAAGTCAGGTTTTACGTTATCGACCTCCTCGTTTTCTATCGAAGTTCGCCAACGACGTTATGTGGATGATATTCTAGGAATTAGCAGATCGTATTGCAGGAAATGTGTTTTTAACTATCTCACGTTGGTGTATAAGGTGAAGCTCCCCCCCGCGTCGGACCTCGAGGACCCCGAAGCCCCATGCGCATGGCTGGACATGGAACTGCGGCCTCAACAGGATTCCTGCTGGATCGCCCCAAGAACGACAACAGGCTCTGGCTCGTCGCTCATGATCCTGGACCTCGCCCAAAATCCAACATCTTCCCCTGGCCAGGCACTACGCCTGGGGGCTTTGGGATGGTTGTTGCTCTATATTCAGGACGCGTGGCCCGTGCCCAGCATCTGTCCCTCACCATCCCGGTTACGCTGGCCTGGATCTTGGAGTTGACCCTGGGGCTC